GTGTGTGTGTGTGTGTGTGTGTTGGTGTGGTGTTGTGTGTTGTGTTTTTAGTGTTTGTTTGTTTTAGTGTGTGTTGTTTGTTTAGTGTGTGTGGTTTGTTTTAGTGTGTGTGTCTGTTTGTTTTATGTGTGTGTCTGTTTGTTAGTGTGTGTTGTTTGTTTTAGTGTGTGTGTGTTTTTAGTTTGTGTTGTTGTTTTAGTGTGTGTGTGTTTTTTTTTAGTGGTGTGGTTTGTTTAGTGTGTTGTGTTTTGTTTTAGTGTGTGTGTGTTTTTTATTTGTGTGTGTGTTTGTTGTGTGTGGTTTGTGTTTTAGTGTGTGTGTGTGTTTGTTTTGTGTGGTGTTGTGTTGTTTTAGTGTGTGTGTGTGTTTGTTTGTTGTTGTGTGTTTGTTTTAGTGTGTGTGTGTGTGTTTTTTAGTGTGTGTGTGTGTTTTTTTTTTAGTGTGTGTTGTGTGTTTTTTTTTATGTTTTGTGTTGTGTTGTTTTTTGTGTGTGTGTTTGTTTTAGTGTGTGTTGTGTTTGTGTTTTTAGTTGTGTGTGTGTGTTTTTTTTTAGTGGTGTGTGTGTGTTTTTTTTTTAGTGTGTTGTTGTGTTTAGTTGTGTGTGTTTTTTTTTTTAGTGTGTTGTGTGTTTTTTTTTAGTGTGTTGTTTGTTTTATGGTGTGTGTGTGTGTGTGTGTTTGTTGTTTGTTTTTGTAGTGTGTTGTGTGTGTGTGTTAGTGTGTGTGTGTGTGTGTGTGTAGTGTGTTGTGTTGTGTGTGTGTGTTTGTGTGCGTGTGTGTGTGTGTGTGTGTGTGTGTGTGTGTGTGTGTGTGTGTGTGTGTGTGTTGTGTAAAACATCATAACTTCATGCCCTATACACCATGGTATAGATCAAGCTTGCAAGCCAAAACTCTGATAGCACCAGATTGCTCAATATCTATCTCACAGTTGAAGTGCAATGCTGGCTCCAGTTGTGCTTAGTCATTAACCATTGGATCCAGATGTCATTGCAGTCCTGTCATAGAAAAACTTGAGTCGAGGGGCGGGTGACGTGAACTTGCCATCATTGGCCAAAATGGACTCTCCAGGTGACACGAACTTACCATCATGAGCAAAGGCACACCACAAGTGCACAATCGTCTTGGAGTGTGACTTGACTCATTTGGTGCTCAGAATTGGGCTTTAGCATCATTCCATCAATAAACAACTGTGGAATTAACATGCATAAGCAGTGACTGGAAGAGCACTGGCTCCAGGAGGACACCATCTCTACTGCACACCCTCATTCCTGGCCGCTGTAACAGGTAGTGCTGGTTGTATTACATAAAATTGAAAATTACCAAAAAAAAAATAGGTATATGACAAAAATAACCAAATGTTCCTTCTTCTTTTTTTTTTCCCTTGCACTGAGTTATTTACTACATAGAGAGATGATATAGAGTCTGGGCAAGGAAAATAAGCTATTACCATCTGAATAAAGCAAATCAAAAAGACAAATATGGACATTGGAAAATTGCGATAACGCTAAAAGAGTTTACGCAAAATAACTTTGCAAAGGGGAGACACAGAGTCTTGTCACTGCTCATGGGTGTACATGCCGCATGCTCGGGATGTTAGCCACTTATGTAACCTATTGCCAATGTTTCGGCACCTTGATTTCAATGGCACAACTGGATCTAATGGGTTAAGTAGTCAACTACCAGGCCTAGATGGTATCACCTGTATATTATTTTCCTTTATATGCAGAAAGATTTTATATTTTTTAACTAGACTAATATTAGTACTACAAATATCACTAAGCCAATCTTAATGGCAGCAATTGTTGTAAAGATGATAATTATAATAAAATGATATTTTGGAAAAAAAACAAATTTTTTTCCCAAAAATTCAAGGAATAGGTTAATCTGGTGAGCGGCCTTAGGCTTGCTTATTGACTTTTTGTTGTAACTACTTGTTAGCCCATTTAAGTTTGAAGGATTAAGAAAATAAAAGTATTGTGGATAGTGGACATACCCAGCAACACTATTACTTTATATGTTTATGACAAACCTGTAAGATTAAAACAATGAAGAAATTACTAGATTGGTCCTATTACAATGCAATATCTGTTTGATGCAAGGGGAGGTTGTTGCATGTGCATATGTATCCATCTATCCATCTATATATATATATATTATATATAATATATATATAATATATATATATATATATATATATATATATATATTTCTAGTTATCTATATTACATTTTTTATTTAAATGGACATTCATAAACAAATTCTCATGCTCATACATACACCTATGGAAAAACAAGGTCTGTAAGACTTTGCCTGAAAATTATGTAACGGATTTGGCCTCCAATCTTAAGTTTTAGCCTTCTGCTCACTCAGGACTTTTTCAGACATTAGCTGAATTTTCCATTCTATTCTGAAATCAAAAGATAGTTTTAATAGATAGGGGGAAAAGGTTAAGACTCGTGGTGATTTTTGCTTGCAATCCTTTTCAACATGCTGGTAATGTTCAAATTTTCTTTACAGGCATGTCAAAGACCTCATAATCCTAACATCCGGTGTATGTTTACTCAGTACCATTTCTCCATACTTCTGGTTGCTCTGGCTGCTGGTGAGTATTGATATTGTTTTTGACTCTACTGTTTATAAGTGGCATAGTTTCTAATTCATTGCCTTATCCTTTCCTGTCCCTTTTATATATCCTTCATGCTAGGAATAATTATACACACACACCTAACCCTTTACTATTGCACCTGATTGATTGTGCACCAGTTTGTGAAGGTAAAATTCATCATAGTAAATTTTGAGAAATAATGAGGATGATTTTAAGTGTTTTTGGACTGGATTAGCTACTCACACATTTTGTTAATATTTTTTCCTAAACACTACTCCAATATGCTCTAGTACAAGCGATAAATGGACAAGAGAAAACAGCAGCATATTTTAGAGTTTCTTTAAAACAAAAAGATTGTTGAATTTTCTGAGAACATGAAATGACTCAATAAATGAAAAATTTAGTGAGAAAAAAGTTACTTTTAGGTTGAATAAAGACATGGATGGTTAGCAAGTTCACCTATTTACCCTCAGAGATATTACTAGCTTCCTTTGCAAATTACAAACATCCAAAAAGGTTTTGTTGTCAGTGATCAACTTAACTCACCAAAGTTAATCCATCGCCCATAACAGTTGCTAATGTTAGCCTGTCTTTTTAGGAATAAACAATTAATTCAGTGGTGAGAGCAGAAGCATCAACCAGTCAATAATGTAAACAGTCAGAATTGGCATGTTTGCCAAGTGCACAATTCTGAAATATCCAAACAACAGATACACCAAATTTCATGTGCAACAGCAAACTTAAATGTGTGTTAACCAAGGGATGTTAGCTTTTGAGGTGTATGTGATAACAGTTATTTATGATAACATAATGGGAATGCTCTTTATATACTGCAATGTGCATGCATTTGTGTTTAGCATTTATATATGTGCACATAGAGATAAACAGATAGACAAATGTACAAATGCTCATATTGATCATATGCATGTACATACATATACACTCATCTCATTATTGTCATCCTTATCCAAATTGTTAAACTTTGTGCTACTGTTACTAGTAATCCAAGTCTTAGGCATGCTGTACTTTGTTGATCCAAATTTTAATGACAGATGTATAAAGAATATGGAATGTGGACCAGTATTTTTGTGAAGGTTATCCATATGCTGTGAATTGATGGACAGAAATTTCAGTAGTTATTACAAATAAAAAAAATTGTATTAGTTATGGTTTGTTATTCATACATTGGAATTATTGAACTATTGACCTAATGAAATCCATTGTGAATCATAAATTCTTAAACTAACATAGGCTGCTCTAGAATTAGATGATAGGATTTTGAATGATACTGAAGTTTATATATGCATTTTACATATGCACTGTTATGGGATACAAGTTTTGGATCTCTGTCTCTCCTATTCCTCAGCATATATTCTTATATATCCCTGTAAATCTTTTATCCTGGATTGGTATTGTATAGAGCTTGGACATATGAATGAATGTGACATAGTATATGTATTATTATTTCTTTTCAGGCTCCTTGCAGAGGTATGCAAATGCTGTGGACAAATATCCTTGGCCCATGGTTCTTCCAGCCAGCTCCTGAAGAACCACAAGACAAGAACCTTGAGAAGAAACAGCGGAGATTAGAGAGAAAGATGAAGTACCGTTAAGCCTCAGCTTCATTTTTCTTATTTCTGTTTGAAGATTTGTTGTTTTTTTGCAATTTTATAAATTGCACACTACAATTAATTTATTTCTATTGAGTAATAGGGAATTTTAAAGTAGGTTTCCCTCTTACAGATGGAATTGCTATTTGATATGTTGTAAAATAACAGATTGTAGAGTGCATAGGGATTGGTTCATTGTTAGCAGAATATTTCTGTTGGAATTATTTTTGTATTCCTATCAGTTGTTTCTTTTTGTACCTGGAATATTTATAGTAGATTCAAACATATTAAAGGTACACAAATCCTTATGCAGTATGCCCACCTACCTTGTATCTTTATAGTTTATGAGCACCTCTGAGGAAAAATTACATATAGAATTTTTTGATGTTTCATGACTTTCCTGTGAATTTGCTGTGGACTTTTTCATTTGCTATTTCCAAATTTATCATAGCCGTGCAATAAAGAAGTCAGAGGAAATTACCAGTCCTTTATATACACTTCTTTTTATTTACCTCTTTCTGTTTAATCAGATACTGTACCTGAGTGTTAGTAGAAGTCTTTTTTTTTAATAGGATAGAGGTGAGAGACATAGACATACACCAACTCACAACCTTGCTTTGTAGTCATGTTTTGGACAAGTTTGCATTCTCCCATTGTTGGTCCACTTAGACCCTCACTTCAAGTCCTGTTTCAGTCTGTTGTTCACCTAGGAAATATATATATATATACATGTAAAGAATGAATTATGGCTGGGAAATATGGGGGAAGGAAATGTGAGAGTTGATCCAGATATTAATTATATTACCTTTACAACATGTATTTGAATGACATGCTTTGTGCTGTGGGGTGTCAGCCATATTTTCACAAAGTAGGTGGGCCTGCTGTACCTTTTTAATTACACTTTCACTTTAAAGAAAAATGGCTATTTTTCTTCCTTTTTTTCTCTTTCTTTTCTTTTCTTTTCTTTTTTATGAATAGATCCCCAATTTTTATGACATTACCCAAGAGACTCTTTAAGTTTATTGTGTTTAGTATCAGATTTGTTTCAGCATATAATGAGATACAAAACAAAATAGGGAGGTAGGTTTTTTTATCTCCTTTTTAGTTTTGGATGTAGCATATGTTCAAAAAGAATATTATATAATTTTTTTTTATGATGTGTTATATTTTGAACAGTTTCATTCATCCTTTGGTATAATGTTGATCTTTTTTCAATTGAACTAGAATTACAGATATTCTCATTTACATGAACATGTCAGTACAGTATCCATTGTGCCTAGCACATTCATTCAGTGTATGTAATATAGAGGTAATGAAAAGAGAATTTTGCATCACTGAAGTCAAAATACAATGAAGTCTGTTTGGAATGAGTTTCATTTTTTACTCTATTTCTTGGTGGATCATTGTGAGCTAAGGCTAGTGATAAGATTACATGGGTGTACAGGTTAGCATAATACCATATTAAATGACTTAGGGTATGAAATGGAACTGGACAGGACACAGTAATAAGCTTGATTTGAATATGTGGCACCACAAAGCAGATGGTATATCACCTATACTATGTGTAGACAGAAATATTGTATACATATCATTATTTTTATGTTTAATTAAAATAAAAAAATAGTCTTTTAACCTACACACAATGGTAATGTGCTATAAAAGTAATTTTCTATCTTATTTTAACCATGTAATACCAGGGAAACACACATTGCTGAGTGAGAGGATTGTATGAGGTTACAACAGAATCATGTTTCAATACTTCCAATGAATTGTGAAATTTTCTGAAGAATTTTGTAAAGAACAGCTTGTTATTTAACATTGCTATCCTTGAAGGATTTTGCACGTCCGAAGTCCACTTTTCTATAGATCTAGCTGCATGTGTAAGTTTGTAGTGGAGAGAGTGTATCATGTGTTGAATATTTTATTACTGAGAGAAAATGCATAAGATATATTTGTAGGTGTCCTTCACTGCATCACTATAATCATTCTTGTTTTAGCATAATTGATAAATTACTGTTGTGGTAGGTAGAATCTACCTAACTTTGTTTGCTCAACTTCTCCATCCCACTTAGTTCAGAATTATATCTCACTCATAATATCCTACATCAGTCCATGAGAATCACTCCTCATAAGCAGCGTTAGCAGAAAGTAAGTCATTATGTAGTCGAGATCATGTTAGTTGAAATTTCATACTTAGATGTTGTATTAATGACATTTGATTGTTGTAGATATGATAGTACACTGATGAGTTGATGTATTAGCATTAAATATTTGTGACTCCATAGAAATAGTCTGGATACTTGACCCATTTGGTTGGTGTAATGTAAAATTGTCTTAGCTTGCAGATTCTGTGCTAAATGTACTCAAGTGTATCTGTTATCCCTGTTGAGAGAAGTGTTCTATATACAGGGTTTCTGTACAAGACCATTTCTGCAGTGTACCCTTCAAGTTCATTATTATGATTAAAATGTAAATCATCTGAACGCTGTTTATTATCTGTACATTGTTGGTTTGTGCCATGGAAACATGGTAATTGTTTAGAAAATAGGTGATAGATCCACATGAAATGATTTAGTCTTGAGAAACAGTGCAATATTGTACTTAACATGGAAGTTGGAAGTAGAAGAGCATAGGAAAGGCCTTTTAAAGTATATATAAACTCTTGCATTACTAATACATTAATTTAATTATTTTTTTCAGTTTGAAGAGTATGATGATGATGTAGTAAGTTTCATTATGATAAAAAAGAAGGAAAAGGTACTTCTTTGGTGTTCTGGTTTTTTAGCCTTACAGCACTCTCTAAGTCAATCATGTTAAGGTAAGTGAATAATACATTAAGATAGTATAGATGTTTTATCATTCCCCAACCCCATGCCTATTGTTGTTGTTGGGGGGCTTGGGAGACAGGGACTGAGGCTCAATGTAGAGATCACCCTTGTCTTTTACATGGTCTTTTCTTCTCAACCTTTCACTTTTTGATACCCTTCTTTTGTGCATATCCTAAAGTGTGAGAGCCATGTTGAAAGGATGAAAGGCTGGCTTTATGTTAGTCCTGAATAGCCTTTGTATTCCGTTTGCCAACATCAGTAAGAGATAGTGTTTAACTACCATGAGCATAGTTTGGCTTATTTGAGCACCAGATTAAGGATGTATAACTATAGGAAATAAAGGCTAAGGATTAAATGATAGGAGATAGCAAAGGTATTTAGGTCTCAGTAGTTTAGAAGCCCTATGCTTCAATATTGCTCTGTTTAGGTGAATAGTACATCGCAATCTGCTAAAATAC